AGAGATTTGCTTGTCCAGTACTTCAACGGTAAGAAAATCAATCACTTCTAGGATATTGTACTCTTTTTTGTGTTACAAGGTCAAGTGCAATTTGCGACGACGATGATGACCCTCGTTACATTACAATAACTAACTGATTTGTGTGATTTGACTCTTTTTATCTCTTGACAGCAACATTTTTTTTATCATTCGCATATTTATGGTCTGAACGATGTTGTATATGATGTGTGTATATCTTAAAATAAAATTCTTCTTGGAATCAAAGTTCTAACACGATTCTGCTGAAAAAATATAATTCTCAGCAGAATTTTCAGTTTTCAGAAGAAAGAAGGGTATATGATAAAACACAATTCTGCTGGAGAAACTTAATTTTAAGTAGAAGGGGGTTGTTTACTATAGCATTACATGATTGTGTATATGATAAAATAAAATTCTGCAAGGGCATCAAAATTCTAACACAGTTCTGTTGGAAAAACATAATTCTAAGTAGAATTTTGATTTTGAAAGGGAGATATGGATATATGTATATATGATTGTATATATGATAAAACAAAATTCTGGTAGAAGATCGAAATTCTATCACAATTGTGTTGCAATAACGTAATTCTGGGCAGAATTTTGATGTTGAAGAAGAGAGAAGAGTATAAAATGAATTATATAAACGTATAAGAGAAATTTAATCAAAGAGCAAAGTTCTTGAATTCTGCTTGCGATGAATTCTGCCACTGGTGATGTGGGTGTTGACAATCCTTTTAGTGACAGCGACAGCCACATCCACCATTCTTCCTTCTCCTGGAATATTCGCGACAACAATTCTTTCGTTCTTCATCTACCGTTGAAGAAGGTCACTTTTTGCTTCTCGTTTTTTCGTTTAAAAGCATGCACACTTTTTTGCGCGAGTAGCAGCATTCTTTCATCGTTTTTTTCGCTCACAGACTTCCGTGCCTTGTGTCGTAACTCAAATCAATAGTCATGGTTTCTGAAGGCAAAGAACATGCTATTCAACATTTGTCCACTGCAGAATTAGCGTTTATCGCCATGTTGACGGATGTGAAAGGTGGTTTGGCCAAAACTCATCATGCACCAATAAATTCATATAAGGTAACGTTCGAAAATATTAAAGTGGTACGAGGTTATCTCGATCGAACTGGTGATGGTACCCATTTCGAATATCGTCAAAGTCCTAAAGGTTTAAAATTCAAGACAGAAGAAGAAAATGATGAACAAGCAAAACAAGCGGCCGAAGAAGATGAAGTCAAGGAGCCCAAAGAGGGTAAAACTTATTTGGCCATTCTTGAAAATCAAGAACACATTGAAGTTCTTGTCGAGATTGATCCCAAGGACATCAACGAAATTATACAGAGTGCTCGAGACAAGCAAACAACGATCGTTTGATCGAACAATTATTCTGAAACAAAATCTCCTTTGATAGAAAACGACTGCGTCAAGATTATTTTTCTGTATTTTATTGAAAAAAAAATAAAGAGAAAATCATTCATGTGCCGCAGTGAATTACTAGTCTTTATTTTCATAACAACTTATCAACAATTCCAAAAATCGAGAAAACAAAGCAAGAGCGCGAGAGCTGTGCGCCTCACGCGAAGTGTCACGAATATGGGTATCTCTTTCGGGTTTCTGTTTCCGAAAAACTAAAACCCGTGGGTTTCCGGGTTGGGTGTGAGTGTGGATCTAGGTAGAGTGGGTGTGCGTGGCGTATGGGTGAGCGATGATCTTTTCTTCACCCACACCCACACGCACAACCATTCTCACAAGCACACCCACACCCACATCCTAGTTCTGGAGGGGTTGCGTTGAAAGCTTTCTTATTTTTTAGTGTGGCATCAGGATGTGAGTGGAACATTTCAGCCCTATTGGAGCTGCACTGAAAAGCTTTTTCCAACAAGTTTAAAAAGAGAATGTTACTAAACGAAAAAATTCGATATTTTCTCTGTCGATTGGTGGCTTGAAGGTACAGAAAGAGAGAAATCAATATTGACGCATCAATAACATTGATCGAAAATGAATTCACTCTCTTTTTCTTTCTGTAACCAACTACGTCAGAATTCAACAGAAAAAATGTTCCGATGTATATGTATTCTTTTTCTGACACATATATTAGTCATCAAGGCGAAGCAAAAATACATTAAAAAAAGCCATAAAATGTTGTAACCCCTTCATTTATTGCAATTCTAGACAAGTGCAAACATGATGGACATCATCCTTTGATATCTCAGTTCAAGAAACATTTAACTGGCAAGTTTTAAACTCGTATGTGTTCTTCTCCTTTTACTAGATCTGTATGTTTTTATGTTAGAATCATTCATAGAAGGACATCTGCAAGTTATAATAGTAGTCGACATTTCACCGAAAAATTCTGTGCGTTTCCAGAGTCTACAGATTTCGTGATGAAATACAAACTAGCTCGCAAACCATTATCAACTATGTATTAAACTCGTCAAAGCTGACTCAATATGATCATCACACAAAAGTACTGAAGCAGCAGCTGAGTAGAATCTTGCCTTCTCGAGAAAAATCTTCTCTAAAAGAGGTACAATAAAAATTTTTCGCAAATCAAAGATTTTTTCCCAGCACTTGTTCTTCTCTTTGGAAAACTTCTGGGTAGATGTCTGATCTATGTGCTGCAGTTTTCTCTATCAATCTAGCGAGCTGACATTTTTAATGAATATTAAACGTGACCGTAGAATTTGAAATCTAAATTCTAGTCAGGCCAAGCTGGGTGTGGGTCGGTGTGTGTGTCGATGTGGATGTGATTATATGTCAAGAGAAGATATATACAGCCACATCCACACCTGCAAAACATTTTTAATAGAGTTGCATTCTCTTTTCATCAGGAACTATATTTGAGACAGATAGTTATATTGGCAAAAAAATGCACTGAACACAAATTCTATTCGTTTTGATTAATGCAGAAAAACGCCAAGAATTTTCATTGAAGTTAAGTTAGTGAACGGTATTATTAATTATTTTGTGGAACTCACGTATATTTTTGAAGAAAATGGTGAATGTAAGTTTAAATCAAGATTTTTACGGCTCCTTTTTGTCTAGGCTCTAGCAACTGGAAAGATTGCATCAATAATAAGTGTTGAGATAAATATTGCAGGTTTTGAAATTTAATGTAGAGAAAAGATTGTTTTGATTGACGTCAATCAGTAGGGTAGTGGCATTGATATAAGACAGTCCGAAGAGGATGGATGTAGAAAAGTATGAACTAACTGAATTTTAAGTTGAGGCAAAACTAAACAATATATATTACAGCTCGTTAAGAGAAAGAAAGAATAGTCTGTTCGAAAACTTATTAAAAGATTAAATTAATATGTATAACAGGCTTATATTATGACTGAACTAACGAAACGAAGAACAAAATGATATTTGTCGTTTCCTATGGTATGTATCTTATATATTTCGAAATGATGAAATTTGAGAGCACGTATATCAACTATAAAAATTGTTATCATTTTGGGTTATTCGTTTATTGAACATTCATTTTAAATAATATAATTTCAACTCTTCTGACAATATACCATAAATTTATAATTGTTATCGATTGTTAACTTTCACACTTTGACTCCTCAACGAAGTTGCGCTAACAAGTTTCATATTAATCTGAAAGAATAAGATAGGTTCTAGGAAGAATTACGCAAGTTCAAAAAAATTCCGATAACCAATAGGTAACGATCTGCAAGTTATCTTAACAAATTTGATTGAATTATGTTCTTGTCAAATGACATATCCAAAGGAGCAAGATGTAACATACATAATAGTATTTACATTTATGAAATAGATTCGATCAATGTTTTGATTCAACAAGTGATCTACAAACGATAGTTTACATATTATTGTTTAAAAGAATCGATCCAGATAAAACCATACTAAAGAAATACTTCAACAACAACTAAAACTTGTTCTCCAATTTTTTTTTTCTTTGAATATATAGACATATTGTAATGTCAACAATAAATATGTCGATATACGATTGTACACTAAGCTGATCATCCTACATCCAATAAGTAACAGGTGTTACATTCAATGTGTCATGCATCAACGCACTCTATACAATTACATAAGATATAGATTATAGCACTATTGTGTCATTCGTCAAAGCCATTAAAAGTTATTTTAATACTTTAAATTTTCATTCAATATTATTATTGTTTTGTTTTTGTCACTTATTCAGTTTCTTTCTCTATCTTTCTCGCCGACATAAGTTGTCTATTCATTTGAAAAATTTATTTTATGGCAATCGATTCCGAAAAACAAGTTTCTTCATCAGATTCAACAATAATTCGTATTATTGATAACATAAAAAAAAGTGAATGTGATCCATGGGGTTATCGTGGCTTAGAACTTTCAAATTAAATGCTGATTGTACTTATAAGTCATCCAAATATTGATAAAGCTGCTGCTGCACTTGATGTTTCAATTGGTAGTTTAGCTAATCCACGAGATGTTCCTGGTATTGCACATTTTTTTGAACATATGCTATTTATAGGTAGTACGAAAGTAGATCTTTGTTTACATTCATCAATATTTAAGGTTGTTTTGTGTATTTGTCTGTTTTTGTTGTTGTTGTTATTACTATTCAGGTGAAAGTGAATATAAAAAACTCATAAAAGGTAATGGTGGTTACTCAAATGCATTTACTTGTAGTGATCATACAAATTATTATTTTGATATTAATCCGAGTTTATTATCAGATGCACTTGATATGTAAGTTGTATTCTTTGTTTTCTTTTTGTTAATGGAATGAATGAATATTTTTTCTTTGATTTAGTTTTGCTCAATTTTTTATTTCACCATTATTTGCTGCATCATCTACTGATCGTGAATTAGAAGCAGTCAATTCTGAATATGAGGGAAATTTATTTAAAGATGTACGACGTATAACTGAATTAGAAAAATCCACATCAGATTCAGAACATCCCTATTCAGATTTTCCTAGTGGCAATACAGAATCATTAAGAACAACGCATAAACAACGTGGAATTGGTATTCGAGAAGTACTTCTAGATTTTTATAAAGCTCAATATTCATTAAATCGAATGAGTTTAGCTGTTATTGGCAATCGTATGTTATTAGGCTTTTTTTTGAAAAAAACCCTGTCGAATAAGATGACCATGCTTCATTTGAAAAGTCAATTATAAAGCTTTGTAGAACAACTCGTGACGCATCAGATAATATGTAGGAAATTGAATTTTCATCAAGTTTTAGTGTCCTGAAAAGTCATATACCAGTTTAAGAATATTATAGCAATTGAGGACACTATGATCACATATTAATATTCACTATGTATCCAAACCAACCTGGCTAAAGGTTTGTTTGAAGTGAATTCAATAGAATATTGTTTGCTCTTCACTCGTGTACATTTAATAGTACTCTCACAATAGCTTTCTTCGGCTACAAAACCTTAGTATTTTTACTATGTTCTGTAATTTTTAGCTTTTATGATATTGTCAATTCTTCGACACTGGTGTTGAGGACAGAGACGACTAACCGTGCAACTTTCTTAGAAATTGTGTACTACCAAAGTATAAATATACCAATCGATTGTTCTCTGAATTCAAGTGCATAATTGTCAGATCGGCCAAGCAATGCCTAGAGAAGATCAATTTTTCGATTTCTAAGAACAGAACAGTAGATAAGTTTTGGGATACATATTTTGTGAATGTAAAAGTTTCTATCTATTCATAATTAAGTTCATCATGTTCTGTCATTTGATTTATATTGATCTTTTGCAAATGCCAAAAACATTTCTCGCTTTCGATCTCCAGGAAAGAAATACGAAAACCGACTATTACAAAGATTAGTTTTTATTTTACTTTTGTTTTATTATTAATAGATAGAAACTTTTTCATTCAAAAAATATTTATCTCGAAACTTTTATGGTTTTCTGTCCTTAGAAATCGAAAAATTGGCCTTTTTGAGGCATTGATTGGCCGATTTGATCACGACGTACAACAATTCAGAAGACAATCAATAACTACAGCTGGTCGCCTCTGTTCTCAGAACTAAATGTATATCGTGAGAAACTAGATAAAACTCTATTGAATTAACTTTAAAAAATATTTTATATAGATTAATCTCTTAACTGGTATTTGATTTTTCAGACCACTAACACTTGATGAAGATGCCATTTTCTATATACCATTTGATGTAGTATGAGTTACTCTACAAGATGGTATAAGTGATTTTTCAAATGAAGGATGATCATCTTATCCGACGGGATACTTTAAATAAAAAGTCTTTTTTTTTGTTTAGAATCACTTGGTGAACTTCAATCGCTTGTCATTAACAGTTTTAAAGATGTACCAAATAAAAAATTACAAATACCAAAATATGCACCTGATCCATATGGTGAAAAGAATCGAAAAGTTTGTTTTTATTAAATAAATTTTGTTTGAAAATTTAATTTTTTTTCCTACAGACAATTTGTTATGTTGTTCCTGTCAAAGAAAGTCGTCGTTTAATAATAAAATGGGTTATACCTGATCATCAAGAATTATATTATTGTAATGTAAGTATTGGTCATTTAACCATGTTATTTTAATCTTTATATGTTGAAGAATATCTCGATTTCATTCAGCCTGAATCATATCTATCACATTTGATTGGACATGAAGGTGATGGTTCACTATTGTCATATTTAAAACAATTGGGTCTTGCTATTGAATTGTCATCTGCTGATAGAAATTCTGGACTTGGATTACCTGGATTTAATTTTTTTACTATTAATTTGGAATTAACTATCGAAGGATTAAGTAAATAAAATTAAAAAAAAATTGTTAATTATAAAAAAATTCTTTATTTGTTTTTAAAATTAGATCGATGGGAACAAGTTATTTATATTGTTTATCAATATTTAGCTATGTTACGTAAAGAAGGACCAAAAGAATGGATTTTTAATGAATGCAAAGTAATATATAGATTTAAAATTTAAAAAACAAAAGGTATTCTTTTTTTTTTAATATTTAGAATTTAAATGAAATGCATTTTCAATTTCGTGAAAAAGAACGACCGGCTAAATTTGTTTCAAATTTAGCTCTTCGAATAAGGGTATTTCTATTGAATTTATTATTCATACTTATTTTTATCGGCATCTTAAATGAATATTGAGAAAGATTAATTTTAATCATTGTGAATATTTACAAAAGAATATCTACATCAGATCGATCTAAATGTTATTTTTTCAAAAGATATTTACTGTTGTTTGTATTATTATTCATTGATAATTAACTGAACAATGATAGTTCTAGATGACATTTTTTTTTGAAAAGTTTTATTATAAAGGATGAGCTGAAAGCTTTTATTTCGATTAAAGTCATTCGTTAGCCTAGTTGTAATTATCAGTGTCCGACTCGGATCGGATCGAGTCACAAAAAAAGTGACCCATATCGGACACTGGTAATTACCAATACGAACCGTTATTAGAAAGAAATCGAAGATTAAATCATATATGTTGATTTGTTTCGAGAAGAGGGCTGACAATCTTCTAATCTTTGGAAAATACTGTTTTCTTTCGCAAAGTTGATGAAAAAGTCCTGTTTCATTTCTTGAGATACATCTAAGTGTATACACAGATCATTCAAAAAGTTCTTGGTTTGGTTTTCATTTATAAAATAGCAAGAATTGTGCGTTGCATTAGTACGATTCTTAGTACATAATTCATACATTTAAGTATCAATAGAGATTATAAGATCTGCTAAATTACATATTAAGAATAGCCCCTAAGTAACTAGACAATAATGAAGAAATTCAGAAACTGTCAAATAGATATTACATAGAACAAGCACTATTGACTAAAATTAACTCACGCTGCGATCTCAACCATTTTTAAGACTAAACCTGTAAAATTTTCACCATATGTATTACCTTAGAAATGTAGATTAATCGGGCGTCGATCGCTTGAGTTGTAGAAGAGTTGCGATCTATGACAATCCTTCTCACTATGAGTCATAGAACTCAATAAGAGAAGAAAGTTATGATTCAGCGAATCTATCATTATATAGACCTCGCCAAGCTGTGGATATTTTACATAATTATAGATTTCTCAGATCGTAAGCTCCTTCCCGTTCTTGAGCTATAAAACTCATAGTGAAAACAGTTGTCATACATTATAACTTTTCTTAAAGTTAAATGATCAAGAATGGGCTGATCTCGTTGGGTTACACTATTAAGATAGTACATATACCAGAAGTTTCAAATATGTAGGCTTAAGAACAGTGGAGATTACAAGAAGATAATATCGGTCAATAAAATATTTCTTTATTGAGCTCAATAATGCCTGTTCAAAACAGTATCTATTTACAATTTCATTGTAAATAAAAACTTTGAAGAATCTTTTATCAACGAGAAAAAAATCAGCTCGATTTATTGATCACTATGTTCATACGAAAGTATAGGAATCCATTTTAAATGATCCTAAATACACGGATAGACAATGAAAAACTTAAGCAAAGTTTTCAGCTTTGAAAATTGACTTGCCATCAAATATTTACAAACCTATGACGACAGTTTACAATAATAATGTTCTATTACATACAATGATATTTGAATAGACTCGTCGATATCATATTAGAAAGTGTAGTATTTTCGTTGTTTGATTTTAGTTAAAAGTAATTGATCATTTCAAATGAAAACAACATTTGGACTTTATCTATTTGCAATTTAACACTATCTTCGATTATTAAACTTTCGAAAGCTGTCATAATTATATGATTCACATATAAGTTATTATTAATGTATAATAATTCATCTTTAAAGCGAAAATTTCATTTCGAAGTTATAATAAGCAATGGAAAATCAGCTATCACAAGTTATCACCATATGCTCATAAAAATTACACAATGCATGATTTTTCATCACAAGCAATTTTACTATTAAGCATTTTTCATGTTTTTTTTTGATTTTCTGCTCTACAATCTATTTCTATATTTTCATATGTTAAATTCAACAAATCTTACTATGTTGATAGATAAAAGATTGTATGAATTACACATACAGTCAACAATACTAACATAGCAGTATTTGTTGTTGTTTTTAAAATCAATCAGGGAAATTTTTGAACTCTCCGTCTATATCACAATAACAACACAGTATAGTCTTCACAGATATTTGATAATTATTTTAAAATTTGCGATATATTATCTTTCATTTGATGCTATGAAACAAGAAAATTTTTCTTTTTAGAATTATCCTTTAACTGAATGTCTTTCTGGTGATTATGAAATGCGTGAATTGTGTCCAGATTTAATAAATGAAGTACTTAATGAATATGTAATACCAAGTAAAATGAGGTAGAAAAACAAGAACGAAATATTTGAATATAAAAAAAAAACAATATGTTAAAATTTTCTTTTTGTTAGAGTATTTCTTATAAGTAAAGAATTTGTATCAATAGCAACAGAAAAAGAAAAATGGTTTGGTACACAATATAAAAAAGAATATTTACCAGATGAATTTATTAAAAAATGTGAAACATGTGATATTATTCCTGAACTTCATTTACCAAAACCAAATGAATTTATTCCAACAGATTTTCATTTATTTTCAAAAGAAAAACATTCCATACGACCACAATTACCAATAAAAATTAAAGTCAAAAAAAGAATTAATTTATTTTGTTCAAATTTTTTAAATTTCAAATTCTTTGTTTTTTTTTAAGGAAAATGAATTTTATCGTCTTTATTATGTTGATGATTCATTCTATAAATTACCTAAAGCTTATCTTTATTTTGAATTTCGAAAGTAAGATTCAGATTTATTTTTCTATGATATTTCATTTTTCTTTGTTCACTATTAAATCTAGTCCATTGAGAAATGTTGATCCAATACATTTTAATATGAATACATTATATGTTAAATTAGTTAAAGATTCATTAACTGAAGTTGTTTATCCAGCACAACTTGGAGGATTACAATATGAATTATCTGCTGTGAACTATGGTATTCAGATAATTTAATATGAATTCTGAATAGTACCATTTATAGAGAACGTCCATGCAAAAAAAACCACATTTTTTTCCCATCACTTGTCCGACCTGTTTCATCGATCTTCTCTCTCAAAAAATGTCAAGCTCTCCAATTGGTATTATTACAAAAATAGCAAATAAATCAGAAAATCACTGTCTGATGGATAAGGGTGATGGGTAAGGTTGAGCGTGATCGTATGAGTTTATCATTGGGGTGAAACAAATAGTCACTGTCATCATAATTCTGAAAATATGGTAATTCATTATTTATTTATTTATTATCAAATCTATTAAATCTGTTGCCTGGTCGAAAACAGATACCATCAAAAGAATTTTTTCGTTGTCTTAATTCTTTGCTGAAAAAACCTAGTGACTACAGTATAATCCAGTATTCGAAATCAGTTAAATTTTTGTAATCCGTTTCAACCAAAGTCGAATTCTTATATCAACTTCGTTTCTCTTTTCCTTGAAGAAATCAATTTCTTAATCCTTTTTTCTTTCTTTCATCTTTTCGTCGGAAATAAAGAATATGTCATCATTATGTCATCGACATTTCACAGTTCGATTATGTAATAGAATTTTTTCTTGTTTGTCTTTCTTTTTCTTACATGATTTCCTATTTTACTGAGCTTTTCTACGCTCTCTTATAGCACTTTTAAATAAAAGAAATATTCAAAATACTTTTTTTATCTTGCAAAATATTTAGATTGCAATTTCACTTCAAAATCGAAAAGTTTTTTCATAAACCAACCCGAGTCGAACATTGTATAGTCTCTATAGTTTATTGGAGGTTTACCTGTTAGATTCAGACGTATACGTGGAAGGGTATGAGCGTTTTTCTCTTATCACTGACACTTACACCTGAGTTGATAATCAATCGATTCGATAATAAATAAATAACAAAGAAAACTCTCACTTATTGCAAAATTTTCGTTTTTTTAAATACAATCAATTTTAATGAACAGAAAATCGTCAAAAGCTAACAAAAAAAATGAAGGTCAATACAAATGACATTTGAAAATTAGTAAATGTCTGGAATGTTTAGAAATATTTAATTTCCTTCTAGCCGATTTCGCCGCATCTCGTCTCTCGTTTACCTTTACATTCTTTATAAATGGTCCCAATGAGAACAAAGAAAATATATTAGTTTTGTTTTAGTTAACCTTATATGGATATAATCATAAAATAAAAGAATTACTTGATGCAATTATTGATTGTACGATTAATATTAAAATGAACGCATAACAATTTGAAAACATTAAAGAAAGAGTAATTGAATTTAAATGAATGAAAATTCTTAAAATAAAATATATCCGATAGGTTAAACAAGCATTACAAAATTTTCGTCGTGATGCTCCTTATGTAATGGCACAATTTGCTGTAACTTATTTAACAGCTGAACATCAATGGAATAAAGATGAATTATTTCGTTGTATTGATGGTAAATTTTCAAAGAAAAAAACAGAAAGATATTAGATTAAAAAACGTTTTTTTTTCTTCAAGGTATTACGATGAATAATGTAGAATCATTCATTCCTCGGATGTTAAATCGTTTTTATACTGATTCATTAATGTATAGAAATTTAACAAAACATGTAAGAAGAATGAATTTCTTTTTTGTTTGATTTTAAAATGATTTTATTTTAATAGCAAGCTCTGGAATATATGACTTTAGTTGAACAAAAATTTCAAAAAAAAAAACATTTTTATCAACCACTTTTTCCTAGTATGTGATTTAATCAACGTGAAATAATATTACCTGAAGGTTAGTTTAATTGTCATTTTGCATATAAATGTTAAATAAACATTATCTTGATTCTTTTTACTTTTCGTCAAGATTGTAATTATGCATATACAATGCTAAATGATGCACATAAGTTACATGCCATTGAAATTTATTTACAATGTTTTCAACAAACATTTGAAAATAATGCTTTACTTGAATTATTTTGTTATTTTGTTGGTGAACCTTGTTTTGATCAATTACGAACAAAAGAACAATTAGGTTATAGTGTTAGAGCAGATACACGTCGTTCTCATGGTGTAGAAGGTTTTAGAATTATTGTTCAATCTGCTCGAGAACTCGATTATGTTAATCAACGTATTGAATTATTTATTGATTCGATTAGAGTGCGTACGAAAACCAAAAAAAACTAAATTCAAGAAAATATTGTTTCAATCACAGAGAAGAGATCAATCTATAATATAGAAAAATTCTAGTTTGATTTATTTGGTCAATAAGAAACTAAATATATTCGAAATATAATGTATGAGACATTTAGAAACAAAATATACGTAGTATATATAGATATGAGCAGGATTAGCTTGTCCAATATCTAATGGAATAAGTTCTCCAACTGATAAATCGAGAGTATATGCATTACGTAGACCCAAATGAGCTATGAATAACTTTAAAAAAGTTCGCACTCTCGGCTAATTGCTGTGGAAGCACTGCGATGTCATGGTACTTTTTTAAATAAATACTGTGCTAACAGAAAAACTAAGTTTCAAATATTGACTGAAAACTTTGCATGGAGACAGTCTTTAAAGGGAGTAGTTTCAGATCTTTTGATTTGCTTCTATCCCGAAATAGAAAAATCAAATATGTTTGTTTTTATGAGTGATGTAAAAGATATGCTATTATCATAATTGTATCTTAGAAAAGAAACAGGGACAAGATCTGAAATACTCACAAAAACCTATTCTCGTTTAGATCTGTCTCTATGCAAAGTTTCAAATCGAAATTCGACAATTAGTATTTCTGTTATCACGGCATGTATTTGAAAAATACCGTAAGAGAGTAGTTTCTCCGCAGTAATTTCCGTTTTGACTCAAAATCGATTTTTCAATGTTGAAGAGTTCTCTCGTAAGCATGAACGAGTATTCTGTGATAAGAAGATGTTAGTTATAATATACTGCGGTTGAGATGTGCGAGACAGAGTTTGTTTAGTTTGGGTTTAGAGAGAACTATTCCCGAATTTATTTGCTGAATACAATAGAATACTGAACTATATTCTTTAGTTCTAATTCCGGCAAATTTTCTTTTTCATAGCTTCAGCCGTCAAAGATCGGTTCTAATCTCGATGATCGAGAGCAGGACGAAAAATACTGATCTATATTGTCTTAGGAAAATTCTCTTGAAGACACAAGTACTTAATCTTACTGATCATTATTTCATATTCATAACTTTTTCGATTTGCGATATAATGATGTTGATACGGAATGATTTTTTTTTTAAATGATTTGTGTTTTTCATAGGAATATATATCAACAATGCCTGATGAATTATTTAAAAAACAGCATGAAGGTTATATGGTTAAAAAATTAGAAGTACCAAAAGGGATGAAAAATCAAGGAAAGAAGTTTTGGGATGAAATAACAAATCATCAATTTTGTTTTGATCGACATAAGAATAGAAAAAAAGTCAAACATTAAAATATTCATAAAACAAACTCTTACTTTTTCTTTTATTTTAGCTCAACTTGAAGCTGAAATAACACAAACATTAGAACGTAATGATTTACTTCGTTTTTATGATCATTATATATCACTACATTCAATTTATCGACGTAAATTAGCACTTCAAAAACCTATTGATGAAAAAAAATACTAACGAAAACAAAGATCAATTAGATGCTATGACTTATAAAAAGTCACTTTCAAATACTGTTAAAGAACGCACTCAAATAGAGGCTACTGTATCTGCAGATATCAATCATGAAGCGATAAAATTAACTGAACAACTTGTTATGATTGATAATTTAATTGAATCAAAAATAAAACAAATGGAACAAAATTTATCTAAAAAGGACTTAATTTACCAAAAGTAAAATTACAGTGAAAAAACAGAAAAAGTTAATTAAATTTTCTCTATTTCTAATAGATAGAATGGATTGACAATATACATATGTGGAAAAGTAAATTATCATGTTATCCACCGGCCCATCATATGACAAAATTGAAGTACCTATTCTGTACCAATTATAAAGAACAGTTTTTTCATAATCATATGTTTGCTTTTTTAAAATCATATATATTATCTTTTAATATTTCTATAATTCCTCAATTATTTCAAACAAAATTCCTTCTCTTTCTTTCTTTTTTAGAATAAATATTCTTTTTCGACATTAGTTAGGAAAAATATAAAATGGTTAAAGAACACGATTGGTGTCTATATGAATTTTAATCTAAATAAATTTTGTTCGATATTTTGTTTTTCAATATTACAACAGTTGCTGTTGCTAGCGATCATTATGTTGTTGTTGTAAAGTGACACACATTTAACAGAAAATTATTCAATACAATCGCGTACACATAGCTATGTGTATAAAATGTATGAATTTAAATATCAAAAAAGAATGTTGAAGTTTGAGCCCCCCTCGGCATAGTGTGCATATGGGTGGATATTTATCTAAAAATGAAAATCTCACTTTTTCAAGATTGGGAAATATACATGTACCTCGAAATAAAGTTTATCTAATGGTATAAATGATTTTGTTCTAACTCTCGAAGAAAGTGAAAAAGTAGTTGCCCAAATATTAGCTTGAAGATTGTTATATCTCGAGGAAAAATTGATATCTGACAAAATTAAACTGTCCAACAGACACATCAAGTACATTTTCTGAACATCCAAGCTGAGCTCTATAAAATGGTAAAAAATATTGTTTAATCTGCACGTTTAACTTCTGGGTAAAAAAAAATAATTTTTTCCACAGTATTATTCAAGCGGCTAGGTTACATAAAATCATTGATTATCAATAACGTTTCATTATAATATATGTGCTACTGTCTTATTGTATTTCTGAAGTAAGTAAGTAAAAGGCTGGTAAAGAAATGCGTCCTAAAAGAGATAGAATAAAATAGTCTTCCTGTGATTAGCAACAGTAACTACATCGTATTTCACATTTTAATCTCATAGAGATTGAGCTAACAACATTTTTTTAGGCATAACAATTCGTTATTTTCATCAACAGGTTTTCTTAGTGATGTAATTACACTTAAGAAACACTAAAAGGTCGTATTAAGGTTGGGTGTGGGTGTGGGTGTGGGTGTGGGTGTGGGTGTGAGGGTGTGGGTGAGGGTGTGGGGTGTGGGGTGTGGGTGTGGGTGTGGGTGTGGGTGTGGGTGTGGGTGGGTGTGTGGGTGTGAATACAAAGAAGGATGACACCCACACCCACGTACCCACACCCACACCCACACCCCACACCCCACACTCACACCCACGTACCCACACCCACAACCACACCCACATCCACACCCACACCCACCCACACCCACACCCACCCACACCCACACCCA